ATCCCTCACACTAAGCATGCTTGTAGCGTCGGTGGAGAGGAAAAAAACTCCCTTTTAGCGTTCCGAGCCAGCTCCCATGTCAGAGAATAAAGAGAGCGCATCCAGTCAGTCAGAGAAACAGGACTACACTGAAAAACAGGCCGATCTTAAACATGATGACCTGAAAGCTGTCATGAATTAATTATGCTTCACACTTGATTGTTGCTGATTAGACAGGCTTTCTGTATGAGTATGGTCAGCTGATTTAAATAAATGTTGCTTTTTTTTCCCCCCTTGCAGACAACCATAAACCAGACTCCTGTGACGCTGCAGGTACCAGGCTTAAACAGCTCTGTCACTCAGATGGGCGGCCTGCCCACTGAAGTTCTCTGTCTGATGAACATGGTGGCTCCGGAGGAGCTCCTGGATGATGAAGAATATGAGGAGATAGTGGAGGACGTCAGGGAAGAGTGTAGCAAGTATGGCCAAGTAAAGAGCATCGAGATACCCCGACCAGTGGACGGCTTGGAGGTGCCTGGGACTGGCAAGGTAGGCAAACCTCAATGTTGGAATGTTTCTCACATTGCAGCTACAAACTTTTAGAAATTGTATTTGGATTTTTAAGGGATAGCATAAAGCAGCCCATATTTGGAAAGTGAAGGGAAAAATAATCATACTTTTTAATTTTCTTCAATACTCTTACTTTAAAAGTATAGTTTTGAGATGATTTTATTTAGTACCGAAGTGGGGCTTAATATATACAGTGAGGAAAATAAGTATTTGAACCCCCTGCTATTTTGCAAGTTCTTCCACTTAGAAATCATGGAGGGGTCTCAAATTGTCATCATAGGTGCATGTCTACTGGGAGAGACATAATAAAAAAAAAAAAAAAAAAACTGAAATCATTATATATGATTTTTTTTTTTTTACTTTTTATTTGTCTGATACAACTGCAAATAATTATTTGAACACGTCTATCAGCTAGAATTCTGACTGAATTCTGATTAGATGCCGCTTGAGATGTTAACTGCATAAAGACGCCTGTACACCCCATACAATAAGAGTCCAACTACTAATATTGCCAAGACCAAAAAGCTGTCCAAATGAAAGAAGTTAAACATGACTGTCAATCTCCCTCGGACTGGGGCTCCATGCAACATCTCCCCTCGTGGGGCCTAATGATCCTAAGAAAGGTGAGAAATCAGCCCAGAACTACATGGGAGGAGCTGGTCAATGACCTGAAAAGAGCTGGGACCACCGTTTCCAAGGTTACTGTTGGTAATGCACTAAACCATCATGCATTGCACGGAAGGTTCCCCTGCTTAGACCAGCACATGTCAAGGCCCATCTTAAGTTTGCCGATGACCATTTGGATGATCCAGAGGAGTCATGGGACAAAGTCATGTGGTCAGATGAGTTAAAAATGTTGGTCTTTTTGGTCATAATTTCACTAACCGTGTTTGGAGGAAGAAGAATGATAAGTGCCATCCAAAGAAAACCATCCCTACTGTTAAGCATGGGGGTTTTAGCATCATGCTGTGGGGGTGTTTTTCTGCACATTGGGCAGGGTGATTGCCCTGTATTAAGGAGAGGATGATTGGGGCCATGGATTGTGAGATTTTGGGAAACAACCTCCTTCCCTCAGTTAGTGCATTGAAGATGGGTCGAGGCTGGTTCTTTCAACATGACCATGACCTGAAGCAAGCAGCCAGGATAACGAAGGAGTGACTCTGGAAGAAGCATATGAAGGTTCTGGCGTGGCATAGCCAGTTTCCAGACCTAAACCCAATAGAGAATCTTTGGAGGGAGCTCAAACTATGTGTTTCTCAGTGACAGCCCAGGAACATGACCGATGTAGAGAGGATCTGTGTGGAGGGGTGGGCCAACATCCCTCCTGCAGTGTGTGGAAATGTGGTGGAAAAACGACAGGAAACGTTTGACATCTGTAATTGCAAACAAAGGTTACTGTACCAAATATTAACCTTGATTTTCTCGGGTGTTGAAATTTATATTTGCAGCTGTATAATACAAATAAGTAATTAAAAAAATCATACATTGTGATTTCTGGAATTCCTGGATCTCACAATCAAAAGTTTAAATACTTATTTTCTTCACTGTTAGCGTGGATAATTGTTTTGTTTTTGATTTTTTTATGGGGTTGTTGCATGATGCAGTGTTATAACAATCAAGGTAGTATTATTTTGTTTTTGGTAAATTATGGTGCTTTCTGTCCTCTGACTTTGCTTTGTTTTCTTTTTCCAGATCTTTGTGGAGTTTACTTCAGTTTTTGATTCCCAGAAAGCTATGCAGGGGCTGACTGGAAGAAAGTTTGCCAACAGGGTGGTCGTGACAAAATACTGCGATCCAGATGCTTATCACCGCCGGGACTTCTGGTAGATGTGATGGAGGGTAAAAAAAAAAAAAA